GCAGATCGTTGGAGTCACTGGGGCATCTCCCGTGTCAATCTTACGTTGGATGCTTATTGCACTGCATTATGATCAGGGCTCAAGTTCAAGGAGACATTTACCCGTCCACTCTTTCCCGGATAGGTCATATCGTTCTGTAAACGACATCTGTGGACCCCAAAACGGTTGTCCATGAAGCCAAGTCCGGACTATCGAACCATTCCGCCTCGCCACGGTCTATATGGACAAAAATATGCATTCGCTCAGAGGCACGTCTTCCCGAGTCCATTACCGTGTCGATCAGTGAATCCCACTCTGGAACGAAGTGAGTGCGCTGAAGGTGTACACGGAGTCAACTGTCATGCGCCGTCAGTTAGGAGACGTGGAGGCGATACTGTGCCACTGACTCTGAGCCAGGCCATGTCCTCTCCGATTATCGACTGATTTTTAGGGAACAAATTTCTCCGTAATGCAAAAGTCCGCATTCTACTCTAAACGTGGTTGCCAAACGTCGCTTATGCTTGCATGCTGCTGCTTCTTCTATACTGAGCCGTTTGTTCAGAGCTCAATGGCATGACCTCAACAACGCCCAGCGCAGGTCCGATGTTCGGCTGCAGCATACAGCGGTTATTCGGGATCGCATGTGGCTTGCCAACATAGTCTGGCCCCATCCTCCCGCAGGCGTTCCAGCACATGAACGCATGAGCTTTGAGTGACGATCGTCACTTAACTATTCTCCGAACCCCGGGTCTCTCATCAAACCATGTGGGATATCACGGAATAACAAAGTCGTGCTTTCAATAATACTGAAACCAGCATTGCGGCGCCAATCGTAACGGTAACGGCTCGTTAACCAAACTCGTCATGCGGGCTCTCCACCCAGGGGCCGACGTCAACATTGAGTGAGGTCGGTTGCGTGTGGCTCACTGGCTGCCGTCAAAAGGAAAACAAATGGTCTGATTCCAGACCCCTGTCCACTCGTCTATCCGTTTGGCGGAGGAGGAATCCTTTGAATCCTTTGCAACGGACACGACACCGCACAGAGCGCCGCCACGCATTGTCTCCCCACAGAACGGCGAAAAGCAATCCCCTCGGTCGAGGCCCTGAAACTCAACAAGCAATTCCAAGCTCTCGTGCGCATTGATGACGGAGAGTGTACTACTTGCCGGAGGTGTGATAAAGTTTAGCGAAGACGGCCGCTGAACAAGACTACAAAAAGCAATCGCGGGATGGAGATGAAGGAGCGTCGCCTCGTCAGCAGTTCCCTTGATTCGAGCTGGCACACGGTTCCTGCCAATCGGGTTGTTGGTGCAGGTGGATCGGAGCGCCCCTTCAAGCCCTTGGATCGTGCTCGCGAAAGATCTGCGCATCATCTTGGTTTTGCGCAAGTGTCTCAGGTTCTAGTTCCATCTCGCTTGCAATCATGGCGCATCCAGAACGAGAAGATTGATGAGCCTGGCAATACGGGCCATACGGCGACGGCAGGGGAGACTCCAAGCAGCCTTCTAGCACAAAGCCTATGCCTACGCCTACGATTCCCCCAGCCACACAAGAATCCTGTTGCTGCGCGCATCCGCTTACAGAAAACAGTGCGCCAACATATGTTGTCACCATGCGTCTATCAATTCCGACAACCAAGAACCGATGCGCACGCCCAGCGGCGATCAAGGGAACGTATCGTACCATTTTGCCGTCACGACTGGTGCAGTCAAGTATTGAAGGTACCGAGGGAGGGGTACCTTCGTAATGACAGCCACTCAGCGTTGCCTCTAATCAGCACCATCACCAATCAACGAACCTTTGCGTCGGAACCAAACGCGCGACGGTCCATGGTGCCCAGGTGGGATGACGACGTTTTCGAAATAACACCACCACGCAGAACCTCCAACACCTACTTCTGCAGCTGTGCAGGTCAGAGCGCTCTATCATCGGATGCACGCAATCTTGCTCCAGGCAATCTTTCCCTAGATTATCATGGCTGGGCGATTTGCCTGCGAAATTGTTGCGAGATTGTTGCTACTGCCGCCCTACGCGGCCTTGCGAATAGCACTCTAAACTATCAGCCATGATCCCTGCGCGCCAGACCTTCGAGAAGGAGGTTTGCACGGAATTATCCATAACACCGACCGTTGCCCCTCCTCCTCTCCGCTACTCATGACAAGGCAGTCAAGCAGGGACCTTGGACTCGCATCCTGCCGTCGACCAGGACCCCCTCTCATCACCGCGAGCTTCGTCCGAAATTTCCGACAGAGAGAGCAGGTGATGCCACTGTCATGGTAAGACGCGAAGATTTGCCTAAAGAACCGCGATCGACAGCCGTCTGCGCCGTCTTTGTGAGAATCCCAAGTGCCGACAGCTATGGCAGCTATGCCAACAACGGCGGTGCTATTGTGGGTATCTGTGTCGCATTCGTGCTGGCAGCACGTGGCGGTGAGTATCAGCAAGCACCGTATCCCGCAACGAGCCCCAAGCCGATATCAGTTATCTCGGACATTAATACCAGCCTTTGCGCCTGGGACGAGACAGGCCAAACTGTCGGAGCATCCACAGTGTACCAGCATGCTGCCAGAGTCATAGCTGCACCCAGGACACCCAGCCTGACAGCTGTGATCGCCCAATTTCCGCGTCGCGCGAACGCCCACGCCCACCCTTTGCCCGTTCGCATTCCAAAGCACACGAACCGCATTCTAGCGCCAGGCGGGCAAATGCTCCGGGACTAAGGCTTCTTGGGGTGTGATGTGACCGTGCGGACGATCAGAGATGGGATGATCCCAGCTTCTAGCCAACATCAAGGCTCGTCCCTGCGCGCCCGCATCGTCCAACTCAGCACACTCACACTCTCTTCCCGGAACAACGTTTGAGTCAGAAAACAGTGATCACACTCAAGGGCCGACTCGTGGAAAGTACCATTGCGCCATGCCGCCATCGCCGGATCACCTTCGTATTCATCTTTGCGACTCGTTCCGGAACCTGATGCTAGGGACAGCGTTGGGCATCCACCGTTCGGGATCGCCTCACTACCACTCTCGCTACCAAATAATGATATCGCCGAAAAGAGAGTTTCGTCATTGAGCGACGACCAGCGATTGAGTTTGGCTGGCTTGCGGGAACTAGAATCGCGCATATCGCGCAAGACTGTTTCGTGTTGTCCCATGGTTCACGTCCATCTCGCGTAGAGAACCTTTACCGGCATGATGCTTGTTTGCAACGTGATTGATGATCAGACCGAAGGATTCCCAGGCTCTACCCTTTCATCTTCGTGCCGTGCTTGTGCGGCGTTCATGCGACTGGGATGCACCACGTCACCGCCTTTCTAGGGATCATATTATGGTCGTTATAGGGACGTGTGTAGTAGGTCCTTTTCAGGCAGGAATGGCCGGGCCACGTGATTTTGTCGCTGCTGGGAACCTCCTTGCCAACATCAGGCACACAACGTGGATGAGCAACGACCGAGGATTCTGGAAAAGCTGGGGTTGACCTGGTTGCGCGCACGCTCAGGTACAGACGCTGCCCAAGGGGCGCAGATGAATCATGCGGTTGTTCGGGCGACAATGAAGCTGTTGTCTACATGGAGGATGCCTGGTAAGCTTGCAATGGTAATGGTGAGTAGTTCATCGAGACAACACGATCTCCATCGTCGATGTAGGGCTGTCTTCTCCTTTGTCATTTTTCCATCATCATCCTTGCGCGCACGACTCCTTCGCGCCAGCGCCAGCGCACTTGTTGCCTACGCGATGCGACGACCATGCGGTGTGCGAATGTGAGGCTGTCAGCTATCGCCAAATGCGTGCGCTCGCCGAGAAAGAGAAGGAGCGGGTGGCCTCGTGAATTATCGACTAGGTTACTCCAGGTTACACAAAGTACGCAGCGCAACATGTGGATCGCGAGGAAGTTCCTGCGAAGCTGCCCCGTAAGGGGTATCGCTTGACCTTGCCGAAGTGTTGCGAAGAGTTCTTGCGAAGGAAGTCTATCGGTTCAATATGCCGAAGAGTCGCGAAGAGATTCCGCGAAGCTACTCTACATGTGTACCGGCTGAAGCCGAAAGGGTGCGAAGCTGTTCTGCAAGTGTATCGGTTGACCTTGCCGATGGGGCGCACAGAGTCCCTACGAAGCTACTCCGTAGGTATACCGGTTGAACTTGCCGACCGAAGAGCCGCGAAGAGCACAGATCTGAGCGGCGTTGAGGTCGAGTGACCTGTCTGCGCTGACTTGCAGCCGATCGTCATTACTAATACGCCGCGAAGGGGCGAATGCGTTGTTTTGAAGCCGAGCGGACTGGAGAAGATCTGAGCACGTCTCGACATGTGTCCTATTTGGCCGTATTTAAAGAACGTACGATCTATCGAGCTGTACACGCAAGCACGGCGCAAGAGACACGTGGTGTTGACGCAAGCTTGATGCGATGGGCGTTATGTGGTTTGAGTCTCGGGAAAGAGCCGATAGCTTTGAAGCTGTGCTTGGGTCAGGAGTGTCGTGGTACAGGATGATGGGGAAGGTAACTCGCCCCAGTCAACGCTAGGCAAAGAGAGTGATCTCAGTGTCTACTTGCCAGGAACAGTCTTTGGTGATCAGATGAGTTGAGGTCAGTGTGTGGATAGCACAGTTCTTCGGCTCCTATTCCCGAACGATGCATCAAAGCGCTTCGACACAAATATTCTGATCCACTGAGTATTACGATGATATTGTTATTCAAAACGCCGTCTCCTCCAACTCACCTCGAAGACAAGTTCTCTTTCGGGCGATAGTTATGACACATGATGCCTAGCATGCAAGTTTGACTGTTCTTACAACAGATCATTATTTACACTAAGGTTGACTACAATTCGTATCAGAGTCCACCCCTGTTCAAATTCAACAGCGTGTATGCAGCAGATCGGGACATAATTCTAGGCACTCCTGCTCCTACGCTTCGAGCGACATGATACAGATGTTTGCATCTCATGAATTACTTTCCAATTCCTGTTCAACGTCATCGCATCGCTTGCGCGCGCTGTCTCTCTCTCTCTCTCTTCATTTGCTTTCTACTCTAGCTCATACAGATCCTGCAGACTCTCCGATTGATCAACGAGATCGACGTGCAGCACCAGATTTCCGTCATCACTATTATCGAGTACATCGTATGGCGCAAACTTCGCCAGTATCATAGCGTCGTCTGGTAGGTCAGCGAAGCTAGTCCGATTATTCGGTGGACCGGAGTCGCCATATATCAGACTCCAGCTGGGCTCTTCTTCGATCTCTCTCGCTAACGCATACTCTTGCGACAGATCGGTCTTTCGCATATCACGCACAAGGCGATGTATCTTCTCTTGCTCTATCGTGAAGTCTTCGTCGTCCTCGTCTCCAGAATAGACGAGCTTGCAGGTATATCGCCCAACATGCTGCAGCTCGATGTTGAATAAGATGAGCAGATGATTGGTGTAGTCGTTTCCAGCCAGTAGAATTGCGCCGCGCCGACAGTTGAGAGGGAATTTGTACGCCTGGTCAGTGGCTATACTTGGTACGTCTAAGGGGTGAGCCTTAGCACTACAGTAGACTGTATTGAACAATCTTAGAGTGTCTTCGCTTATGACTACCTGTAGAGGTCGTCGCTTCTCTACTCTGATGCTTGGTTCTTGACTCATGAAGATGACTGTGGGTGTGCGCTCCTCGGCTTTCATAGTCATCAAAGGTCCAGTGGAGCGAGCATCACGGGCATAACGGTTTGTTCCTGGTGGCCCAAGGCGTACCACGGGTAGACCAGTCCGTGTTTTGTAGGTCCCGCAATGCAAAATAGCTGATCCGTATGGGTCTTCGCCTTGGTGAACAATCGGAAGCTCGATTCTTAAGCCTTTGTTAGTCATCGAATACGGACTCTGGAAATCATCGTCAAGAATAGGGATCAAAGTGCTGGCACCTCGAAACTTTGACGGATGTGTAGCCAAAGGCCCACAGAGATCATATCTCGTACGTTCAAAGCCTAATTGCCACGCAAATAGTGTTTGGTCGTCAGACTGTTTCATAATTTCTTCCTGTTCGGAATGAGCGGGAAAGAACGAAGAGCCAGAGGGATAATCATCGTACCTGCAGGCGAAGAAATGCCTTGTGACCCTCTCCATATAGTAGTGGCATGTTGACACCAAAAAGTCCTAGGAGGCAATACGCCAAATCCTCCGTTCTGGTTGTCTCGCGTTCAGAGGCCCAAGACATGCGCTGTGCAACACTGCACTTTGTGACGTCCCCACCGAGTAATATGTACTTTTCAATGCCAGTCCTTTTCACTATCAATTCAAGCAGAGTCCGTTTGTCGCCAATCTTGCTCCAACTGGATGAGCTGTTGGCATAGAAAACCATCTCAGATGGGGCTATTAGCTCCTGTAACGTCCATCCTCGAGTCCACCAGGCACTATTCATGACATGCGCGATGGGCTCTAGTCGCTGCCAAGCAAGAACATGCCCCGTTTTCCAGCGGCTGTTGAGTCCACTTCCGTTTCCATCCTGGTGCTCGTAGACATCGATGATTCCGGCCCAGGCCCCATCGGCGTCTTCTGCTCGGTATGTTGGCCAAGTATGTACGTCGGCCAAGTAGGCGTAGCAAACTATAGATTGTTGATACCAAATATACATTGAGTTGATGGCCTCGGACAGTTCTGCGCTCGACGACTTATCGATACAGCATGTGTCAACCCACACATACTCTATCATATCTTCCAATGCTTGTTCGCAACATTGCCGTATCTTCTTGAACGCAGACTTCCTTTTTGTGGCGGCCGCCCGGATTTTGAACTCCTGGTCCTTAGTAGATCGAACCCCTTTTTCTTTGGCAGTCGCCCGATCGCTCATCTCTTGATAGGTGACTTCTTCACCCTCCCATCGGTGCGACAGGATGGCATAAGGTGGGATAGAAGAGCCTTCAAACTCGTGGAACGTCATGTCTGCTGCACGAAGGAGGCGCATGTTGTCGATAAATCCCGTGTCAAGTCTTTCGCTGCCGATAGTGAGCTATAATCGGATTCATCTGCCGAATGGGGTGTAAGTCTTAGTTGTGATGAAAGAGCGGCTTGAGTGAATGTGTCGCGCGGCAATGTAAGAGCGGAGGAAATGTGGCGAGGTTGGGCTAGTGAGCCGTGGGGGCGGAAAGCTGCAGGTGACGTTCCACTATCGGGATGCGACAGCCCTGGAGGCCAAAAGGCTAGTCTTAAAGACTCGGTCTTGCGAGAAGTCCAGGACGAAACACATGAGCCAGAATAAGGGTCCTTGGTTAGCGGGGAGATGCTTCATACGTCGTACTGGCAACAAAAAAGCTCTCGAAGAAGGAGCGCTGCTACAGCCCTACAATCTTGAAATCGTGATGCACACATAAATAGATGCAGAAATACCTAAAGTAGCAGCATAGCTACCCCACATCATAGCCTCCATTGATGCAATACGAAAAGCCATCAGGAATGCTGACTTGCACCCCAAAGAAGTTCCTTGAGTCCAGCTACGTCCCCCTAGATGGCCATATGGATGGATACCAAGCAGCATCAGACCCGTCCCACATAAAGCAATCTAGAGCTCGAACACTCCGTCTTCTTGCTGACCCATTCCGAACCAGCTTCCAAAGGTGTTCCAGGCACTCTGCTTCTCTCCCGGCAGCTGAACGCCATCAATCTCCTCCTGAGTGACGCTGTACCATTCATCCTTGGGAATCCATCCAATGTATGCACGGTCTCCGAAGCCTCCGATCCAGTATATCTCCTCGACAACGAGACGCACCCACTTGCTCTCGTGAATGCCACTGCCTGGCAGCCACCATGCAGCATCAGGGTGCTTCTTGACATAGCAAGCCGTCACACCCAGCTTCTTGACAGCGTCCATATCGATGTCCTCGAGTCGTCCGACGAGTGAGAAGCGAGGAAGAGATGCGGGACTACGCCACTTGTTGTCCTGGGGGTGCCATCGCATGCTCAGGGTGATGTTGGAGCCGGCATCTACGTTCTTGAAGGAGGTCGCGATGGTGATGGCGAGGATGGTCGGGTTGCCTGAGTCAGACTCGCAGTCGCCGAAGTAGTCCATCAAGCCTATGGGCGCGCCGCCGACATCCGAGGGTCGTTGCTCGGTGGTGTGAGAGTCTGGGAAGACGGTAGATAAGGTGCCGATGTTTTCTAGGCGCATGATCCTGCGAGCTTGGACGGCGGACTCGTGAACCGTAGGGATCTTGAAGCCGGATCCATCGCTGGAGGACGGGTTCGCGAAGAAGTGCTGTGGTGATGGCAGGTTGGACGCTGTGGTGACGGAGATGAGGCCTATGAGGGCAGCTTGGAGACGCATCTTGCTACTGCTTGTATCCGAGTGATGCAGAGATGTAACAGGGTGTTTCGAGAGCTAGATCGCTACAGTGAAGCGTCAGTGAAGGTGGTGGCTGATGGCAAACAGCGACGCGTCCGAGCGAAGCTACGGGACGCATCATGCGACACCCAACCGCGGCGGAGATCTCCGACTAGGGTAAAGGTAAAGTCTATTGCAGAAGGCATGACCGTGTCGGGCACAGAGATGGCTCATCCATAAGCATCTAAACACAGCATGACCGCGCTGCTTGATAGTGGCTTGAGGGTCATTGAGAAAGTCGGCGTGTCTAATCTGTTGTCCGTTGTACTTGTTGATGGGTCGCATTATCTTATCTGATCATCTCTTGTAGATGTGGAGGCGAGATCTCCGTTCCGAACATCTAGACGCAGCAGCCTGATAGATGGTAATTTCTGCATCGGCACAGCTATCTAGATGCGCTCTGCCTATTCATTGCTTGTGGGAAGTCTCTATAGTGAATGCATAGTGGCTGTTCTGCTGAGCTCGATGCTCACACTTCGATGCACTAGCGCTGCACGTGATCTCGGCTAATCCGGTGAGCCGCCGTCCACAGCCCTGGAGTCATTTTGACCCTCTCGTCGCCGCCCAGTCATCGAACACCCAACGACCGCAACCTGTACGTATTCCGCCCGCTCCTACGACTGCACCTGCATCAAACGCGAAGCCTTGCGAAACCAAGACTTTCAACTCGCACCCAACACCCGAAACCCCAGAGGTACACCGCTAATCGGACTTTGCCACCACACAGACAACTTCGAACGACTCATCACACCCATCAACAACCGCCAATATGGGAAAGGTTCACGGATCCCTCGCTCGTGCCGGAAAGGTCAAGTCTCAAAGTAAGTCTTGGCTCATGTGGAACGATTGCGAATGTCTGCTAACAATGCATAGCCCCCAAGGTAAGCTTCACCCATCGATACACCCACGCCTCCAGCCGATAGCGACACGTCGAACCACGACCACGATCACGCGACGCCTGAGGAGAAGGACGGATTGATTATGGATGCTATGTGGATGTGGACAGCCGGCTGACACGCTACACAGGTTGAGCCCCAGGAGAAGAAGAAGACCCCCAAGGGCCGCGCCAAGAAGAGGCTCACATACACCCGCCGTTTCGTGAACGTCACCATGACCGGTGGCAAGCGCAAGGTCAGTAGACATCGCGCATTTGTATGATGGGCAAGAACTGACACATCCCAGATGAACCCTAACCCAACCTCATAAGCCAAACACTAGAGGAAGGGCGAACGAAACGAGCACTATGAGCTAGAGAATACGGTCATGAATTCGGTTTCTTCAGGATGGCTATGACTCTGGATCAGAGGGAAGTGGGAATCACGGACGTCGCCACGGCACGTTCCTCAGCAGCAGCATGATCCCACACTTTGGGATGATGGGGGCATATTCATGGCGTACATGTACATTCTGCTTTTTGCACAGCTGCATCACGAATTCTAGCTGCTTGTGTTCCCAACTCTGGTGTTCTTGGATTGTGTGCCGTGTGTTGTTTCTTGTCGCGTTGGCTGACCCTCCATGCTTCACTCGACCCGATGCTGTGTTCATCTATTCAATCGCGTTACATTCCCCAATGTGATTACATTATTTCACGTCTTCGAATTGGCACCATCATAGCATCTTGGCCGCATTCAAAAGTGGACAAGCCCGTCCAGCTTGTGAGAAATCCGTCATCAACAGTGAAGCACCCTCGGTAGGCTTGCCTTCATCCAGATCTATAAGCTAAGAGCTTTCTAAGCTCTGCATTATCTGTCTTTAGTCCAATCCTCGAGTGCTGCATCGTAGATCTCTTAAGATCATACTGCGGTGGGAACGGCAGGTCCAAGCGGCGATCTACGTCACACCCGAACCTCACTCCACTTGAGCTGTCAGAGCACCAACACCTCCATTTGCAGAGCATCAACAGTACAACCCCAACAACAACAGCAAACATGTTCAAGCGATTCTTCGGAGAGGTAAGCCATTCTGGAATTGGCTCTCAGCATCACCTGCTAATACCATCCAGCACGGCGCAAAGAACGTCGTGACACTCTTCCACGCGCCTTCGAACCAAGCTTCCACTCGCGTCCTCACCCTCCTCAAACAAGCCAACGCACAGTCCGTTGCGCATGCGACTGAAGACCAAGCCAGCTCCCACAAAGCTCAGGACAAGGCCGAGCGCACAGAGTTCGAGCTTGATGTTACAGAAGCCCCACCCACAACCGACCAGCTCAAGAACATATTGGACTACTTGGGCGGATCAGGCGCGGCAGGCAAGGTTATTAGCGGAGCGGAAAACGAGACTGATGCCATGAGGAGGTTGAAGGCGGACGGAGGCGCGTTCCAGAGACCGCTTGTCGTGGACTGGAATCAGGGAAAAGCTGGTATGTCCGCAAAGAAGAAGAGAGGCTACTCGTGCTAACTCTGACAGTCGCTGGAGAGAATGAGAGCGAGATCATGAAGCTGATACGGTCGGTACCGAAGGAGACGGAGAAGGTGTAGAGCGTTGAGAGATGCGATCTGTACTATACCCACTCCACTCAGCCTGTGATTCCGGATACTACATACTGGAAAGTACTATTGGCCTTCGAGATTGCCTCTAGACCCGGTATGTCTTGGGCTTCTCCGCTCAGTAGCTCGGGAAGAGACGTTCTGCCAGGCGGCCGGTAGCTGCGCCGCCGGTAAGACACTGATGCAAATCAATGCACATGCAAAAGAAATCCCAAGAAAAACTTCTTCCAACATTTAGTAAGGTGTAAGTGTCGTGTTTTCTTACTGCGCGTCGCGTCCTTTTGCTCCACCATGTCGAAATCCTCCGTGACTACGTCTTTCTGTTTCTGTTCTTTTCCAGTCACTCAGCATCTTTACAAGTCACGCCAAAGCTATATAGTTGGGCCAATAGCATGAGCGGAAGAGCGGCGCGCGGAGATTTCGAGCGTTGGTCACTCACGCTCACCTCCTCTTTCTGGCGGCGCCAAGACTTGTTGCTCCTTCCACCTCAAGCAGCGACGAACTCTTGTTTATCGTGCACCCTCGCGCTTGCCACAAATCTCTCAAGTATTCTCAACCTCGCGTTCTCCATCGCAGTTGCTAGCTCCCAACGGCATTCGGCGCCGCTGAGGACCTTCCCCTGCTGCAAACACCACCTCCATTTGTCCCACGGCTTTGCTCACTGCACCTCCCTCATCGAGCCAGTAGTGAGTTCAGCTATGTCGGATACTGTCCAACCGCCGGGAACTCCGCCCGCTGCAGACACGCAAACCGCAACAACGGCAGACGAGCAGCTTGCGTCCCCCACCGATATGAATAACACTGTCGTCGACCCAGTCAACCATGCAACTAGAGACCCCAAGTTCAGTCCGGGAGCCGGCCAGGCCTTCTTTTCTACCGAACTTGGTACCCGCGCTCCCCGTTCACTAGGTCCAATTCGTGCGCCCGTCATCGCACGTAGCGTCCAAGGTCCTGCGGCTGTGGTGCAAGCAGCGACCCATTGGCAGGTAAAGTACAAGAATCAGTGAGTAACCTTTCGCGTCCCACTCGAAGCCCACGCTGACTCGAATAGGTGTCTCTGCATTCTACCCTCACAGGGGTGGACCGTGGAAGACCTATGGGATGCCGAAGATGTCCACATCGAGGGCAGGAAATTCTGCGAAGAGATGTTGACCTTCATCTCCCGGAACACCTACTACGCAGCGGATCGATTCGCTAAGGATTGGGCGCTCGCGCATCCAGATCGAGTCGACTTTATCGGGCTTCAGATGGGCGACGTCTACGACATCAACGATCCGCTTGCCATCGTCGACCAGATCTTCGTGTTCGGCGAGCCTCTCGGGTTCCCTCGTGTGTTCCTCTGGCACGTCGCTCATATTCTGATTACTACATGGATCGAGATGAACAAGGCGACTAACGAGACACTGCGCGAGAGCCTGACGCCACAAGCACGCACTTGGGGTCAACAGTCCACCAATGAAGCAACCCAGCCTTCGTCCACCTTTGTCGAGATGTCTACAGACAAGAAAGGCAGTAAGAAAAACCGCAAGATCACACGATCTCGACCCAGCAAACTGACCACACCGGCAGAGCCTTCGTCCGCCGTCGATAAGCCAGACTATGTCGCGAATGAGTCTTCCGGAGTACCAGATCAGCCCAACATGCGCTATGCTCCTCCACGCATCCCGTCGCAGGGTCTTGCTCAGCGTGGGGGCCATTCTGCTCCATTGAGGAGCGGCGATATGGGTGTTCCGGCAGGGCCCTCGAGACCGTCGCCCAACATGCATGCGCTATCCTTGAACATTCCAAAATCCAATCGTAACATGAACTCCGGATCCTACGTTCAGCAACACGGCTGGGTCGAGAACAACAACCGCACTGCATATGGTCCATACCCACGACAGCCTTCTGGCGCTATGCCTGCCATGCAGTCGCCTCACTTCCTACCCCCGCAAATGGCACCAGGCCAACATATCGCTCAGCCAATGATGTCGGGTGTAGTTCCGTATGTTCAGGTGGTCCATCATGGCTTTGCTCTCCAGCACCCCGACCCTGGCCTGATGTCTCGAGCACAACTCAACTACCAGCAGAACATGATGCAAGCTCAGCCAATAAACCCTATATTCACGCAGCAGCCACACAGCCAGCACGTCTCGATGGGCGACATGACTAACAACATGATGCTTCAACACCAGGATCCTCGTGCGCCGGTGCCCCGTCGTTCCAATCCACCGCGCAACCCCCAAGAGCTCTACGATCCTTACGGTGGCAACAACCCTAAGTTCAACGGTGCCCCAGGTCATAACAACACAGGCCGGAAGGGTGGTAACAGCGGCTTCGCCGCTCAGTCTGGTCGTGGCCGCAAAGTATCCAACCCAGGCGGGCGGGAGTCATATAACAGGTCCAACGCTGATTACAACGGCAACGTTCCATCCAGCGGACCTCGATATGCCGACTACAACAATCGCCGTCGCCCATCGGAAGACGACCCGGCTATCACTGGCGACTCCGTCTCTGGTTGCGGTCATACATGGATTGGACCCAAGAACCAGACCGTCACCGAGCTTTGGATCGGGGATTTGTTACCCGATACCGGCGAGTCTGAAATTGCACAGATGTTCAAGCAGACGATCGGCATTAGCCCTATCGCGGTCTCCTTGAGGGGCAACAAGATCGGCGCAAGTTCTATTCATGCCTTTGCTACGTAAGTCAACTCGCTGTTGTCTCTGTGGATCCGCTGACACATCTAGATTCGTATCAACTGCAGACGCCAGCGTAGCCTTGGGTATTAATAAGTTTAATCCTCACGTACGTGGAGTCCGCCCCGTTGTGACGGTACCAAGGCGATTCTACCAGAGGGATATAACATCGAGTTCAAGCTATTTCGATCAGTCACATACTGGGCGTGATGTTCCACGCATGTCGATTCAGAAAGACGATAAGCCTGTCACTGATGTAGAGTCAAATGCACCTACAGAGAGCGCCAAGGCATCGTACTCTCCCCAGGATGCTAGAAGCGGCCTGTTGAAGAAGCCATCCCCGCAGTCGGACGTTCCTAGCTATCCAGAGACAGGAGACGTCAAGCTCGAGATGCCCAAACATCAGCAGAAATCTCCTACAAAGAAGAACAAGGGCAAAGGTAGGCGCGAATCAACAGTCAAGAACATCGATGCAGCCGATGAGAAGACGAAAGCTGCTGGGAAGCTGAACTCTGACGGCCCAGCTGTCACGAAAGAGGAAGAGACCGGCACAGAGTCTACCAAAATCATCACTGAACCTACGAAGCCAGCGACTGTCGATGGGCCTACTTCTTCGGCTGAAGAACATAAATTCTCTCCCTTCGAATCAACACCAGCGCTAGACCAGCCGGAAAATGTAGCCGACGCCTCTACCGTACTGCCACCCAAGGATCCGGAGACGCTAGAGGCAGGACAAGACGCCAAGACAACACAGAAAGAGCGTGACACCGACGTCCCTCTCAACTTCGCGGGCGCCCTTGCTAAGAATCTAGAGACTAGATCTGACGCTACTTCCATCGCTAAGGATAGTGAGAACACAGGTGGTGGGCCTTCGAGTACAGCTCCGATAGAATCGCCTGCGCATTTAGCAGAAAACGACGTCTCGGACGATGAGGCCAAGAACGACACTAGCTTCCATTCTGCGCCAGAAATCCAGCCTGAGTCTGTGCAAGCGCAGCCGCAACCAGAGCTCCAGGACAAGGCGATGACCACGAACCATGGTACTGCGACCCCAACCCAATTCTCATATAAAACGTCTGACAGTACATAGAAACCACAAAGTCGCCGTCTATACCTACCGAGACCAGCCTGAATAAATCCCCAACACTGATCACCCCGCGCAATACTACTCAGTCTGATTCACCTGTAGCTGCGCCGCCAAAAGAAGATACCGCGCCTCAGCTTCCAGCGTCGGAGAGTACACAAGATCCTACAACAACCACTACTGCTCAAGGAAACGAAGAAATGTCAACAGCTGCAGAGACCTCACCCGTCACTGCAACCAAGAAAGCTGGTGCTCAGCAGATGCAGTCGCTCCACCCGTTCGCGAAGAGCAACAAGTCTCAGGCCAAACGAGAAAAGGAGGCCAGAAAGAAGCAGCAGAGGGTGAGTCTTGCATGTACGAAAGAACATGAAACATATACTGACTCTGGCTTTTCACATCTACAGAAAGAAGACGCTGATCGGGTCGCTAAGGCGAAGGCTGATAAGGCCATATCCTCGCAAAAGCCCAACGACGGTCCCTCCGCTCAGCGTGAGACTGAGTCTCTAGGGGACTCTGTGAACTCACCTGGAGCTACAGATACAGTTGCTCAACCAGAAGCGGCCAACTCAAAGACTGGCGGTGATAGCACCACAGGAAACAAGAAGTCCAAAGGCAAGGCAAAGATGCAGCCAGCTGGTACCAGCTCTGCCAATGGCGAAGATAAGGCTGTTGCCGAATCGGAGAATGGTAAACTCAATGGTAATATCAACGATTCCAAGGATGTCTCTTCAGTAACTCACCAGGCGGAAAAGATGGAGGCCTACCTCGCGGCGCCAGCCAACCAGGGATCTTCGGGAGACTCTGGGGTAACCCCAGCTGCTGAACCGACCCCATCAACTCCACCATCTGTCCCTTCAATTACCCCAGAAACACAAGGCTCCTCCCAGAAGATGCCCGCCCAGGAAGTAAATGATCCCCATAACCTCACTTCCAATCAACAAACTCACGTTCCAGGTCACTCTCGCCGCTCTTCCGCTTCCACGCTAGTCGGAGAAGAGCGAGTGTTACCGTCTGCTTTTACCCCTCCTGCCCCTACCCACCCGGACTCCTCGCGAACCGTCTCTCCTGATGAAGCACCCCAGCTCGACGCCACCCCGACTGTAGCACCCAAGAAGAAAAAGAAGAAACCAAAAAAGAAGAAGACAGCACCCGTCCTCCCTTCAGTTGACCCCGACCCCCCCAGGGACGGGGACTATCACAACTATGATCCTTTTTCGTCCCAAATGAGCCACATAGATGCTATTCGTCGGGCTAACAAGTACGATACTACCTCTTACTATGCGGTTACAAACGCGCGAATGGAGAGGGATGCTGAAGAGAGCAGAAAGGCTGCTCGAGCCCTTGCGGATCTGGATGAACATGCTAGCTGAGGAACGAAAAGACGCTGGTCTGTCGTCCAAAACGTGTACGTTTCACTCAACCTTCAAGCGCGATGTAGCTAATTGTGTTCACAGCTTGCAATGACCGCTCAGGTCGGGGCTTGATGGGTAGATGTGCCTGACGATGGACTTAAGAGGCTGGAGCTTGGGAGAGGGATGATGATGGCTTTGAGTTCTTGTTCTTATTATTCGCTCATGGTGTATAGTTGATGAGGCTGATAGCAACATCCCATACTGCGAAGGCTGGTATGATTTGCCTATCACCTGCTGGAGACGGAATGAGAACATAGAAACTTCTACTCGTCTGCATGATTTCGCGTGATTTATGCTTTAACTTGTTGCGCACCCCTCATTTATGGGAAAACACTCAACATTCTAGAGCCAACGTTGACATTAGCTACCTTCTTCGCATCTTTCGACGTTAACGTAGGCTGCAGACGTGTTCAAATTGTTCCTTGTTTGAGAAGCTCGCATGGTGTTTAGTTGATCAATCTGCGCATACCTGGGAAGCGTGATTGTTTCAGTGTGATTCTTATTATACTCAAGTAATCTGAGAAATGCCAGTGTACGCCGTTTTCATGCTGCTAAATCCAAGGCGTTACTAAACTACCATGTCGTACCCGTCGTCCTCTCCCTCCTCATAACGAAACCCAGCGTCGCCATAGCCATAGACATCATGAAGCGCAGCCTGGAACGCTTCTATCCCCCTTTGTAGTCTTCCTCGTTCTTCCTCCACACCCTCAATATCAAACAGCACCTCTCTGCGCGCATGGCCCTGACCAAACCATATAGATCCAGCGCTCTCGCTCCAGTTCGTCTTCAAGCTGTCTTCCAGGCCGCGTCGGCAGAAGGCTAGGAGATCTGCGTGTTGTCTCTCTGGGGGCGGCGCATGTGCGTCGCCGGCGTAAGAGGGGATGGTGTCTGGTGTTGCGCCGCGGAGAAGGTCGGTGATAAAGATGCTGAGCTCGCAGATGTAGGTGACTAGTGGCGGTGGGTTGAGATGTGCGGACGGCATGGTGCGGCTGCATATGTACTCCAGCGGAGAAAGGATTAATCTGAGAGCTTGCAGCATGTGTGTGAGCGCGGCGAGGACGCAAGGTAGCTGGAGCAGATGATGGTTGTCTTTCAGCTGTTCTGTACCCCGGATGAAGGCGTGTGAAATCGATACGATGCAGCCGACGGTTGAAGCGAGACTTTCCGGCTGAGTGATACGCAGGTCAAAGATCATCGTGTCTAGGATCGCGGGGAGTGCTTGCAGTATGGGCCTAGCGATGGCGAAAGCTGTGCTTGATGAGAAAGCTTCTTCCAAGTATGCGGGAAGAATGCCTTGTAGCAATACCGATCGTAGTGCGACCCTATCGCCAGTTGGCGCCTCATCGGTGCAAAGCGCAGTCTTGAGCTGGTTGACCAGATAAGCCTGTTGATTGTCGGCAGCGGCTTGTTGTGCGACGGTCTGGATGAAGAAAGACAGCTGTTTCGCAGTCCCTGCATCTGACAACTTCGGGGCGTATCCACAGAGGCGTGCGACCACGTATGTGGGATCACCGGCTGGTAGTGGGAAGGCGACCGAGTCTGTGAAGAAAGGCAGGACAGGGCAGATGTCGTTCGTGTATTGCTTCAGGAACTGTACGATCTTTTGCACGAATTCGACGTATGCGCCGGTCACCGTTGTGCCTTGGCGGAGCTGCTGGTAGTTGTACTTCATAGATGTCATGAAGTCCTTCAGCATTGATGCGTACAGCCGTTTCATTTCGCCGAGACGTGATGGTTCGGCTCGGGTGATGGCGTGGATGTCGTCGCGCATGTTGGAGAGAATGCTGGAGATGAGAGCAAGGCGTCGCGTGCGCAGAGTGTCGGCAGTGATGTCCCATTTTCCAGTCTCTAGATCGCGGAAGAAAGGTAGGTTCTGCATGAGCGGGTGGTGCTCGTCCGTTTGCGCGATGGCGTGCAGCAGTCTGTGCTGGAACCTCAGCATCGACTCTCGCTCGACCAAGCTTACCATTAGAGCCTGGAAAAATTCATGTCGATGCTCTTCGTACGCGGCTGAGTTACAGTCAACGAGAGCAGCCATGAAGTATGGACCGAATTTGCGCGTCTGTTCGGTCTGGCGTAACTGCTTCCACGATACCTGGCTAAACGAATCGAGATAGTACGACCATGATCTTTCACCCGATAGGACCTGTCCTTCTGCAATTCGAACCCATGTATCGATGCAATCCATGAGCAGGTTATCATCTGGCGAGTTTTCCGCGCCAAATGCGTTCGACAGCAAGTGCCAAAGTGGAGTCTGGATGAAATCCAATCCCGATTGTTGAACGGTCTTTGCGGGGACATCGACTTCCATATCTTCCAGATCATCCATATCGGGAAAGTCACCGTAGTCCTGGCTTTCCTCGCTTCTCTGTTGGCTAACGTCTTTCTTCAAGTTGGCTTTCTGAATCTTCGCATAATCCTGAAGGACCTTCATGACGTCGCGAATAACGTTGACGAGTCGATGATCCTCCAGATGAGGGAGCTCCAAGAGATGCATGATGTCGGAATCCACCAAAAACGCCCTTAAAGATGGTTGATCTTTTGCATGTTGAATGGCCCTGCTCATCCCTGCAATGCAGTCTCTTAGCGTCGCAATGACCTGCCCCTGGTTCTTTTCCATCGTTTGACGAACCATGACGGCAGAGACATCAGTAGTGCCGTCCAGAACACCAGACTTGAGATAGTCGTCAGCTTCGGTCTTTGCCAACTTGTACTGAATGAGCGTTTGGTGCATGATGTCTTTGTGCCAGGATGCAAATGGCCGTGCAGAGGTATATGGCTCTTCGGTTGATAGCTGATACGTAGCAAGGTTGGCCCAGGCTCGAACACTGACTCTACATGCTTCGCGATGAGAGCTCTCGTGATTGACTAGGTCACGAATGTGATCAAGCTTTGGCCGACAAGCGGGTGGCGCAGCCCAGTATAGCGTTGAGAGTAGGTCATGGTGATTGCGTAGCGCTGCGAGATTTTCTTCGTCCAGGGGCTGATCTTTGGGGTAAGCACGCCCATGATTAGGTAGAGAGCGGAAAACAAAGCTACGGATCTTCTTTTCAGGATAGGCATTACGCATACCCTGGAGACCTAGAGCGAGACACTTCAGTGCAATGTGAAATGAGTTCTCGTTCGGCTCGATGTTGAGCGAAGGGACAGTGGCAAGGTCGTTGAGAAAGGGTACCGATCCAGCGCCTGCTTCACTTCGTAGGCTTTTGAGTCCATTCTTGCCAAAGAAATCCAAGACAGCGTTGAGCATCAACTCCGGACGTCTCCAGTGCCAATGAGCAATTAACCGATGGCATCGTGCAAGATTGGCGCGGACGTATGCATTCAGCGACGTGCTGTGCTTTCTGTAGGTACTCGGGTACAAATCGAATAGTCTGCGCAAGAGATCTCGGATGCAAGCCCAATTGTCGCTCTGGAAAGTCTCCCTCCGGCTTCTATGCGGTATGCCGGACGAATCGATCTCGTTATAGGGAAGGAAGGTGAACATCGTGGCCCAGGTAGCCTCGAAGGCAGGTAAAGTAGTAGCGCTGCCCAACTTCAAACTAAGCTCTTGACTGGCCAGATCCCAGAAACTCCATCCTGGTATGTCCACCTCTTCCAAAACATGCATGCATACGATCGTGCTCTCAACAATCACGTCGGTATCTTGTATACCCTTCTCGCGTACGGAGTGTCGCTGGTTTTGTTCGAGAAAACTACCAAGACTGGGAATGCCGTGCCGCATCAAGTGAGCGACGATAGTCTTGGACAAGCTTTTGGCAAGACCGACAACTCCGACTTGGTTGCCTGGAGCAATGGTAGGATGTTGAGCTATGTGGTGAACTTGAAGGCTGATGACAAGAAGGTATGCCATAGCACGGACCACACCATGAGTATGACTAGGATCTTGGCCGTTCAGAGTACCTTGGGCAACCAACAAGTTGTCAAAGATTGTTTGGCATAGCCGCAACAACTTGGCCACACAGTCATCCCGATCGATGGGATCCAAGAAGCTGAGATGGTAGGTGATATAGCTGATGAGTGATCGTGCCAATCGAACTGAGTTCAGCGGACTTTCGTGGACTGATGATGACGCATCAGGGTCGGGTCCATGGACTTCGACAGGTTCTGATACCGCTTTCACAATCTCTTGTAGCCTAGAAAATGTTTCATCATTCCATGGGCCACATCTGACTGACAGAGCGCCATGGCTGATGGTGCAATGACCGGCTAATTCATCGAGGTCACGGCTACCAGGCTTGCAGACAAGTAGAGCTTGGCGAAACTCGTCAGCCCCGATGAATGTGGAAAAATGGAAGTACGTGTCGGTGGCTAGAGAGTATACATCGAACGTGATCGGGTAACGGGTGCCATAAGGACCCAACCCGTGGAGTACGGGCAAGCCGTCTTCCGTGTCGACCTCTTGTGGTTTAGGAGCGTCGGTGTTCTTGAGGATCTCGTCAACTGCTGGCTCGCTTGGCTGGCGGTATTCTCGCGCATCGACATCAATTCGTTGCGCTTGTACCTTTCGCTTCAAGCGTCTGCGAACCGGAGGTTGTTGTTTGCTTGGTCCTTCAGTTTGGCCTTCTCCGACGTCTCTCGCGGAGGGAAGGGGCGGTAGTTCGGTATTGTCATCTGCGAGATACCTAGCCAGCTGTGGGTTTACGAAAGGCTGTTCGCTAGGCAGCTGAAGACCAAACTGCTGATCGACACGCAGGAGGCCCTTCTCGAATGCGATTTTCCTGTGGCCACGGCCAAAGTCGTTCTCATCGCCTTCAAGTTGCGCGGTTCTGAACGGAAGAGGCGCCTGACGCACAGCTCGTCCTGAATCTTTGCTTGAGTGCACATGTTTCTTTCCTCGTTGCGTAGATTTCCTGACCTGAGTCGTAGAGCGCTGGAAGATATGGAGGCCTGCAGGGATGCTTTTACGTGGGCGTGTACGAGATGCGTCCGTCCCGGCTTCCGATTGTACTTCAGTGCCCTTCGCAGATGCTGCGTCAGCTACTGAAAGCTGCTCGGCATGCTGCTGATTATCGATTCGATCGGCCAAAGGATGTCGGGATCTCCTTTTTTGCGATGCAACATTTGCTCTGGGTTTCAATGTTCCCCGTTGCCACTGTCGTAGAGTGGTATTGGCTTCTTCTGTATCTTCAGCGTTATGCAGTCGTATCTGCTTGTCATGTAAACTTTGACGAGCTAGATCTGGTCTTTGAAGCGCTTGCCGTCTGGCGATCCTAAGAAATTGCGGCAGTTTACCACCTGATCGAGAAGGCGAAAGATCAACGTCTATGACACTCATGGCAGGTGGTGGGGTTCTGCGTGATTTCTTGGAGTGGCCATGCTTCCTGTTCGAGGATTGACCCCCAGACGAGCGTTTCCCAGAGCCAACGTTCTTTGCCAACCCGTCTGATAGTCTGACCTTCTTGGATTTCGCGAAAGCGTCTGTAAGTTTGGTCTGCTTTCTCCGCTTCGATCCAGTCCCACCGAGCGTAGGGAGAGGCAGACGGTCGTGTTCCATGTCGGACAGGTTGTCGTCGGCATAACGATCGTCAAACATTGCAGCTAACGCAGAGGCGTTGGCCACAGAGTCTTGCACCCTTTGCAAAGGCTGGGGCTCAGAAGCCATGGGCCCGTCATCTGAATCATCCGATATGACAACAGGAGCTTGCGAAGGCGTGTTGGAAACTGAACTTTGTCGAGGTCGGCCAGCAGGTCTCATGATTCTCTGAGCGACTCCACGAACAGGCGCTGTTGGCTCGGGGGAAGCAGCTGCATTGATACGCGCGCGTTCTCGCTCGCGTTGTTGAGCCTTCCGTCGCTCTTGTGCCTGGCGATCGAATCGCAACCAAGAAGCAGGCAAAACTCCCTTGATCTTTCGGCCCACATGACGCATGTCATCGTCGCTCTTCTCTGCCTCACTAGCAGAGCCTGCAGCCGAAGATGAGCTGTCCGTTATCACTACCCTTGTTGGCCGACGCAGTTCTCCACCGGATCTTTGTATGCTGCGCGGGGCAGGCTCAGAGTCTGAGCCCTGGAGCATCTGAGGGTCTTCTTGCATGACAGACGACGTAGACGGCGTCGGCAAGTTTGGAGCAGGGGTTGATACACGCAGCATAGCTGGACGGCGAGCTGACGTGGTTCCATGTAATGGTGGACTACTTGAATACGGCGGCGAGTTCGGAGGTATGGACCAAACATCGCGTCGCATATTACTGTCTTCAAAAATGCTTGTCGGTGCCGCCGCTGCTTGTGTGGATGAGAAATTAGGCTTCCTACGCTTGGCTGCATGAGGGTGACGGAGCTGTGTAGAAGGAGGACGTCTGGCGGGACCAGAAGTAGGCCGATGAATGAGATCATTTCTTGGACGTGGCAGCACAGGTGTAGAGACGGGTATCTCGACCTCGGGAGGGCTGCTTGTAGGGCTTTGATCTGGATTGAACTCCTGTTCTTGTGACTCATCGTTTGGCTCCCTGCGATGACCCTGAGGGGATCGTGAACGTTCTCTTCGCACCGGCTTGAGGCCTCTGCTCTGTACTTCTCTCCGATACATCTCACCCTCCAGCGCATATGGATGCATTTGGATGGGCTTCCGTTGTCGAAATTCGCGTCTGGCCCTATCATCGGCGATTTGTCTTTGTAGAGCCGTTGCGGATGGTATGACAACTTGAACTGCCGTACGACGATGGGGCTCAGCGAAAGCAGGAGGGGGCGATTCCAGGTCCGAGGGCGGATCTGAGAGATCGTCGTCGGAATCGTCGGACAACGGCGCGATGCCGAACTCTCTGAGTATGCTTGAAGCATGTGTAGAGGTTTCAGGCTTCTCCGTGGCTGCTGCTTGTATCGGAGTAGTCGAGTTATCGGAGAGGGGCACGAGATGGCCGTCGTCGAGTTGAGGTATGGACACGGCAGAGCTTGGCTGGAGAATCGGGGATGCCAGGCGCTGTGACGACGGAGGTGGTACAGCCTGTCGGTTTTTCGGCGTAGGTGAGCCTAGTAGCGGATCAGGGCTCTCGGTGGGCTCTCTTCTTATACTGCGCGTCGATTTGGGCGTGAAGGGAGATGGCGTAGGGCGTCTCGGCGAGCTGTGTTTGGTAGGCGTGGCGATGCCCGTCTCTTGCTTCTCTATCACATTGATGCCGTCGACAGCATGTTCCTTCTCTTCTTCGTCTTCACCAATCCTCTGCACCTCTTGCGTGGCTGCTTCATGCTGTCGGACCGGCACGAGGTCATCTTCGACGCGTTCGACGCGTCCACTCAGGCCAACACTCTGCCTGGAACCCTGACTCTCAAGCTGAGACTCGTCTTCTTCCTCATCCGAGTCCTGGACAAAACCTTTCTGTCGCCATTTGGACATTTGGACGCGCCTGCATGTCGTTCCGCGGTTGGATGCTGGCGGGGTGAGGTTTTGGGTGATGGCTGAAGGCATGGCGCGTCGTCCCGTGCTCCGCTTAGCGCGTGCTGGCGACGGCGGCGGGCTCAACTTTTTGCCCGCGGGAGTGCTTTCGTCATACACGCCAGTCTCATCCACAGTCACTCCACGCAACGAACACACAAAATGGCGGGACGTATTCTTCCAGTCGCGTTGGCAACTATCGTTGGTGTGTCAATTGGTGTGGCTACGTTTGATGGAGAGTTCAAGAAACAGCGAATCGCACGGATGGAGGAGGAGTACAAACGGTACGCAGACTCCACAGGTACTTTCGTCGCTTTCACTAACATTCGTGTCAGGGAACTCGCTGCTGCAAATGCTTCCAGCACGCCGAATCCCATCCCCGTTGCATCGAGTGCTGTAGCACCCCCACCTTCCGCACAACTACAGGCTCAGAAAGAGGAAGCTGTCGCCTCCGCGCCTGCCGACAACTCGTGGTCAAACGTGCTTGGGCTCTGGGCATGGAAGAAGGACAACAAGACGGAAGCCGCGCCTGCGACTGCAACGAGTAGTGTGGAGAAGCCCAAAAGCAAGCCTTGAATGCTACCATGATGGATTTCATAGGTTCAGCCTGCGCTCGAGATCGTCCCATCGTCCCCGCCGCAGCGGGTCCAGACGCTTTAGCTCGTCTAGCCACGATCTCATATCCTTCGTTGTAAACGACCCGGTCCCAGCATCTACCTCCAGATAAGCCTCTGCAAGCCCGAGCAGCGCTTCGTATATCCACTTGCAATCCGCCTCGTCCTCCAATATCTCCCTGATGTACTCCATCTCGTGCTCGTAGTACTTTTGCCGCTCGCCGTTGGTTAGGTCCTGGACAACAAGCGCATCCGGTGGACACAACGGAGACAATATTGAGAGGAGGTATTGGTGATAGAACCATATGGACTGGTCGAAGGGGTCAGTGTTTATGGCTTCGCATATCAGGGCTAGTTCCGAGTCGAGGAATAGACGGCGCGCTTCAGCGTCTGCGTTGCGCTCGCGGAGGATCTTGGGGATAAGCTGGCTGCGGTTGTGCCAAGCGGAGAAGTTGGAGAGATTGGTCTTGATCATCTTGGTCGTGTACTCGAATTCAGATTCCGAGAGGCTCTTCTGTGCTGGTCCTGATGCGGGAACATCCTCGGATGTGGTCAGACGCTCAATCTGCGACACCACAAATCGTCTGTAGCCCCAAGCATGGAAGTTGCGACTGTCTGCGTGCAGCATCTTGTTTATGAGTTGTAATTCTCCCGACCAAAGTTTACGTGCTGCATCCGCGCCCATTAGCGCTTCGCCTTCGCGCAACAGCCAGTTTCTGTGATTCCATATCCAATAGCATTTGGGAAACTTTCGTAATAGCGCAAACGTGAGCTGCAGGTCGCCCTGTAAGAGTTCGTCTGGTGATTGTTCGGGGGTGTCTGCGGTCACCAGAGCCATCAAGACGCGTCTTCGGTGATTCCATATTGTGTAGTATTCGGGATTCTCGTTCAAGAGTTTCGTGACTAGGCCCAGAACTTCGATGGTGTATTGCTTCTCGGCAACCTGGAGAGCGACTGTCAGCTGGATCCAACGGCTAGTTGCACTGACTGCAATACCTTTGTGTTCACCAGATCCGCCAAATCTTTGTAGTCTGTGATCTGTTGCAGCTCCTTCTGCCGCGCTTCTTTTGAGCGGACGACCGGGCCAGACCCGCGCGATATACCGTGCTATACGTGTCAGCAAGGGTCTGTGGAGCGATGAGGAAGTCAACTTACGCTTGCCATATGTTTCTGCGCTGTCTCGGAGGCTTCAGCGTTACTTCCTCGAGTTGCAGCCTCGGCGGAATGTTGCCCCACTACACGCGTGGAGCCCCTGCCCCTCCGTCATCCCTCGCGGAAGGTTGCCGTAACCACTAGCCGCATCTGCCAGCCCTATATATGCTCCGAACATCCTAAGCAACCTCAGCAGCCATTGCTATTACTAACCCAGCAGCAATAATACCGGGACACCAGGCAGCACCCGGTCTCCGGCCTCCTAGCTCCTCTCCTTCAGACAGCTTCACATGCGCTGAAGCTCACAGCTCAGTCCTCCAGTCCACTCATCTTGACACAAGCTGTTCCAACATGAGCGACACTGGCGACGAAGCATCTCCATCTCGGTCCGGCTATCTCACACCGCCGCTGTCTCCTACGAAGACTGTCAGTACCGAAGGTTGGGCATCACCTCGGACGCCGCAGTCTCCGTGCAAAAGTCGCAGCTGCCTCTTCTTCAGGGATATCGACAGCGGCTTTACTAGTCATTGCCCAACTCCATTGTCTTCTCCTAGGAAGTCCAATTCCAAATTTCTCTCTCGTCTCGAAGCGCTGTCAACTCCAGACCTGAGTCCGACTAATCAAGTGTCTGTGCCGGTACCTTGCGACCTCAACCCGCTTCGAGATGGATCCTCTTCCAGCAAGCGACGACGCAGCAATGGCAGTTCCTCGGACAGCATAGTTGAAAATGCAAGCCGCGCAGCATCTCCTTCACTCATTCCAACAGATACAGTCACTACGTTCGAAAGACCAAATCTACCGCACTTACGCTGCATTGACATCTCTGCTGACGACAGTTCTCCGCCCACCAAGCTTCGCCGTCTTCCCTTGCGCTATGCCAGCTCTCCTCTCAGATCCAGTCAATGGCAAGCACGAGGTGGCCTACTAGCATCACCTCGTCAAACCCAAACAAGTACGCCAGATCGTTTTATCGCTTGCCGCCGACCACCCACTATTACACGAGAAAGCTTCGAGCTCAACAGCCCTGCGGAGCGTCGGAACAAGGAACAGAATACCAACCGCGGTACACGCACAGGTGCAGATGCTTTCAGCCGTCGACTGCGCAGGAGTGGCCGTATGAATGAGGAACTACGCGGCCTCAGGGAGGCACACTCTGTAGTTTCAGGCCGGGCAAATGCAAACAGAAGAAATGTCAACTTCAGACAAACCCCTCTACCTCTGGGTACTCGCCAGATCAGCGCTGGCGCTGTCTGGAATGTTGGTGGGCCTTCTGCTGTGAGTGACACGGTAATAGCAGTCTCCACTGGCAGAGGTAGAATGCTTGGAAGTGGAACGAACGCGCCATTGTACAAATCTGCTTTCCTGAACCGAGCAGACCCCGATGCCGAACTTGAAGCCTACGAAAGACGTCTCGCACTAGCGCTCGACATCGACCCGACTGATCGCATCCTCCAACACTCATCTTCTCCAGTCTCTGCGAGCTCACCACATAGTGGCCCTGCATCGCAAGCGAAACATGTCTGGCGAGACGGAGCTTGGATTAGGGACGGAGTCGTTTCGAGTTTGTTTTCATCTACTACGCACTCCAAGTGTTGTGTTGCTGCTAATCTGAGGTTAAAGGTCCCCGTCAAACACCACCAAAGCGAAGACCAGTGCCAATCTTACCCTTTCGATATGTTCTTCTGCTTACCGTTGCTTCTCAATACTGACCTCGCTCACAGTTCTCGATGCCCCTAACCTCCGCGACGACTACTACTGTACCCTACTCGCATATTCCTACACCTCCAAGTGTCTGGCTGTCGGCCTAGGAAACTTTGTTCATCTCTGGTCCGAGAGAAACGGTGTCAACACGCCAGACTCGCTGAACGCCGTGCCGCCAAACGGTCCCGCAGACGTTCAGCACGTCACCTCCTTAGACTTCTCCTCTACAGCAGGGGGTCAAGCGATCCTTGCCGTGGGACGAGCCGATGGCCGCATCTTGCTATGGAGCCCACTGGATGCTGAGCCACGATTCGATGCAACTCAACCCAAGCCCGTATCGTGTGTTTCCTGGAGACCGACTGTTGTGCAACGCCCCTCCCTCCGAGATAGAGCAATGACTGTATCGACTGAGGAGCTGCTCATTGGGGACGAAGTCGGTCACATCTACTTTTACAGTGTGGAGTGGCCGTCAGAGACGCACAGTGAACTCTTCGGTTGGACTGGCGCCATGACCCTGCTGGCTCGACTTTCAATCCACAGCCAACAGATCTGTGGCTTAGCATGGTCGTCTGACGGTGAACTTTTCGCGAGTGGGGGGAACGACAACAACTGCAATCTTTTTGAAACGAAGAAAGTGCTCCGATCGAACCCCGCAAGCGAAAACACAGCAGCCATCTTGGACGTCCGCGAAGGCCCACGTGGCGAATCCATCTACACCGTAACCAACCGTAGCAACAACGCCGTCCTCCACCTCGCACAATCAGCCGCAAAACACACGTGGAAACTCAATGCCGCCGTCAAGGCCATGGCCTTTTGCCCCTGGCAGCGCGGACTTCTAGCCGTCGGCGGCGGCTCAAACGACCGCTGCATCCACTTCTACCACACCCGCTCCGGCACCTGTCTTGCCACTATCGACTGCGCAGCTCAAATTACTAGCCTCATCTGGTCCCAAACGCGACGCGAGATCGCAGCAACCTTCGGCTTCGCGCAGCCCGAACACCCCTATCGTGTCGCCGTCTTCGCCTGGCCCAGTTGCGAACAAGTCGTTGCTGTACCGTGGTACGATGAGAATCGCGCGCTGTGTGCAGTCGCTTACCCGGGCGGTCCCACGAGCGGTCCGCAGACAAACGAAGATCGTGATGGCGGGAGGGCGAGGGGTGAAGACGGGGTGTGGTCGAGGAGAGGTGTTGAGGAAGGCTGTATTGTCGTGGCGGCGAGTGATATGGCGATTCGGTTCCATGAGATATGGAGTGATCGACGGGGTAGTATGGGCGCAGGCGGCTTGCTGGGTGGTGGCTCGGTGGGCTTGTTAGGCGGGAGTGATATCCTTGAGGGGCCTTATGCTGGGGGAATTGAAAGGCAGGGCACGATTATCAGGTAGGTAAGGTAAGTCTTCGGGGAATGGATGGGGATATAGGTTAAGAGGAGCAGACTTATTCCTAGTCTGGGAATCAAAAGTTTTGGTTTTGAATTACAATCAAGGTCTGCTCCAGT